ATGTCTGACTCAGCTTAACACGATAAATTCTGAGATCTACACATATTAATTATTGATGACGCGGTGTATACAAAGTCGGTCTTTTCATTGATCAGATCGTGATTTGGAGTGCTGAAATGTTTTATTTCGTAAAGCAATTTCCCTCTATATATCAAAGTTCCCAAGTTCTATTACAATATTTAAATGACGTTGCGGACGAACAAACCGAAATAGGCGACGTTTCCTCGGAACTGAGAGATCTATTCGAGGTATTCTGACCAAATTACATTAACAGAGTTTTCAAAATAAATAACGTGGTTGTCAGATATGGCAAGCAATCTCGAAAGCACTACACTACACCCAGGTCATTAGAGGATCATTTTGTAAAAGCTTCAACAGAGCACGATCATATCTGTGCTTTGTAGATGCACGGCTAGAACCACCTGCACGTAATCACACTGGAGCTATTTTGACTCCTTGGACTTGAGAGAGGTACATGGATTCGCCTTCGAGGTCAATCGACAAAGAAAATACCTAGAATACGCAAATTAAGTCGCGCTTACACCGGCAAAAATTGCAACGACGAATAATGTTCATAGTACGAATAAATAGATATATAATAACGAAGATCTCATAGAACGATAGAGTGAAATGCTTTCCTATATTTCTACATAGATCCCAGCTCCCGTAGTACACTAATAATCCAAATTATTGAGTGTTGTCGATGAACTGATAATGCATTCAATGTACATGATCATTATTGACTGAGTATCAGTTGTTTCTCCACATGTAAGAGTTGTGATGACTTTTGGGTACTATGAGTTTATCAGTGGAGTAGCGCTATGATTGGCTTAGTTTTATTGGTGATTATACCTGAGTAGTTAGGCTTTGTTGCCTATTGTGAGTGGGTGCGTGTTGGATGCCCTAAGGGTCACTCGAATGTCTTAATTATTCCTGCCACGTGGGTTTTTACCATTCATTGGATGGAGGGTAGTGTCGATCCTGAGTCCAGCGAACCATATTCATCGTCGTAACGAACAACCTATAACAAATAACAATTACAACGTAACTGCAATTGAGGAAGCAACAATCACGATATGTAACGCAATGTTAACAGTTCATGATGATGTATTAGATGAGAGCCCAAGTGTAAGATTCCCCAAACTCCAGATCTCTAGATGAATGAGAGGAGCTACACATTGTTAGGACCAATAACTATTCACATAACATTATATAACGACATGAACTACAGTACGCTGTGACCAGGATTAACCAAGCGTAAAGAGAGGTTCAAGTTACAAGCAAAATCCAAAAATCGTCCGTAGACGAATGGAACGGCTGTTGGCGGTGACTATCTACCACTCGTCCGCAGGTTTTCGCCTGTAATTAACTGACAAAACACAGTTCGGTCGCCAGCTGTAAGTCGAAAAGCGGACCATCTTCCATCCGAAGACACAAACGGCTGCTATGACTCATTGTCTGACTATTTTGATTATCTAGAATTGAAATATTGACTATTTGATGATATGCGATGGAAATAAGCGTAGAAGTGAAAGGGAAGTAGCAGTTATTTGGGGAATAACTGCTGCAGGTACTGTATAAGACGAAAATTTTTCAAGACTCAGGGATTTGTATCGTAATACTCTTTGTACAACTTAATACATTTGAATGAATGCCATAGCACCATGACTGCATAGTAAACTAGAGCTTTGCTTCATATAGAGGAGCTATACATGCTCCAAGAGCATATGAGCGAGTAGAGAAACTTGTATTGTCTCAAACTAGTACAAGAAATTCAGAAAATACTGCAATGCAGAGAAAAAATCCTATTCAAACAACGAAAATCGCACACCGCTGTTCAATTCACGCTCCGTGCATCGATCTTTATGGCCGTACCTTATGGATTAACATTTGGGTCACAACGATATCTTGCGCAGATCAGGACGCTGGAAATGGAGAAACAACTGGCGGCAAACTTGATTTTTCTTTTCAAGGCATAAAATGAATGGCCACTCTTCATTTCACATATGATATCACACCGATATTTTCATGTGACACAAGCGCAATAAACCCATGTGAACGTTGTTCAGTTGGACCTCACGGTGGAAGATCCAAATAAAATTGCTTAGTTTGTGAAAAACCGTTTCTTGTTCATATTTCAGTCAAAACCTAGTTTCGTAATCTTTCTGCTGGCGTCATAAAAGTAAATCGCCCGGTATATTGCCGTTAGCTTGATTATTCTAAATTTTATGCAAGGTCAAATCCGCTGGCAAGCTAACTGTGATAAAGAAGTTGTCCATGACAACTTCGCGTTTGTTTAGTGATGACTTGACAGCATAGACATGTGGGGTACAACTTGTTTTTCAGTTAGGAGTTTTTACTCAGCTCTGAAAGAAACTCTATGTAAAGCGATTGATTCAGATACTACGAACTTTTCTCTACACGCTCAAATGCTTTTTGTGCTTGCGGCGAACTATACGCGTGATAAAAATGAAGACGATGGGCGATCTAAAACTTCTTTATATTCGAATTTTGCAGCGCTCTAAAGGTGTTTAGAAAAACCGGCTGCACAGGGCTGTAACCGAAAATTCAAACATCTGAATGATTACTAACCCACTCCTACGAAAAATTCTTGCAGAGCGATTAAGGTTGAATATTTATTTATCGCCTTATTAACGAAAAGTACATTCAAAATTAATAGGATTTTAAGGTCTTCTCAAAAGTTATGGCACTAAAATGGTAAACATTGAGTCTTCAACAGAAATAATAAAAACTTTTTTATAACACTATTGATTTTGCGCCATCAGCCCGAACATATTCCTGCCATCTCTCAAATAAACAGTGCACTCATAGACTCAGCATTCGTGAATTCAATCAAAGCTCTCAACCCTGCTCGCAAATGATTGATGTCTCAAAACTTTATTCTGCTCAAGAAGTGCTCGAGCCATCGAAGGAGGTGATAGCCACGAAGATGAATCGGACTATATGGCGGATGATCCAGCAACTCGCAGCTCGTAGGTCGGTCAATTTCGTCAGTGGGCGGATGTCTGGAACGCAGCTGATCCTTCAAGTTGATATTGCCGGCGCCAAATTCAGCAAAGAACCGAAACGCTATTCGCCTGAACACAAGTCCTTGAGCATTTACACGGTTGATGTTTCCAAAAACGGTCTGTCCACCGCGTCCCAATTCGTAGTCGCAAAAGAGTGTGTTGCGATATAGGCTTTATTGAGCGATCATGAAGCGACAACTATGAACCAACTTGGTACCAACAGAAGGCTCAGAAAATTCTGCACAAAGCGGTATTGATTTGTTGCTTGAGAAGTGGCAGAAATATATTCAGGCTGAGGCGCATATTTGACTTAGTGTTCTTGAGCAATTCAACTATTCTAGTTAATAAATCTGGTGTTTAGTGCTCTAGTGTCAAAGCTTATGCGAAGACCTAATAGCACACTTGTGAATGTACTCGTCCATGAAGAATCGCAATCAAACCTGATCTGCATTTGTCAGTTTTTGTTATTGCAGCTTCATTTGCTTTGAAGACAACATGGATTTTTTTTAATGCGTGAACTTTCATTTGATTGGTATTTCAGAACATGGACGAACGCTGTAGCAGTTTTCTTCTACACCTGATCTAGTCGTTGATCAATTTGCCATTGATGAAAACACGAAGAATTTCGCTGCTAGGGATAAACTGACAAGTCCATTGGCCTGCATATTTTTCCCATTCTATTCCTCAGAGATACAATCTTTTAGCACTTTTTTTGAAGTAGCACTAATTTAAAAAATGTATCGTTTACTGGCACACTACAATATTGTTTATTTCTTGCTCAAACCTCTTAGCCAACCTCTCAAGCTTCATTGAGCAATGCAAATGTAGTCATGCTTGTCTATGGGCGGCATGTCTTCTGCTGTTTGAATGAGTTCACATATTTAGGCTATTTGAGGCTCTCCTTTAGTAGATGTGACAGACTTCCCACGTTCATTGCTAATAGGCAGGTGAAAAAATTCTGAGAAAATGCTTGTCAAACATTTATTTATGCACCTATTATACCCGAACAGGGAGAAAACTAATAGTCAGAGTACTCCTCTTCAAAATCAAGCACTTCCTGCTACTTCTCCAGCAAAAGACACATTCTCCGATTATGAGATTGCAATTAGCCCCAAGCCGGAACGAAGCGTTCACTTGCCACCGTTGCACTCGAACTTCAAAGCCATTCGTGCACCATCAACGACCTAAATCGCTCGCTTGTTAACTGCATTCTGAAATAAGTAGAAGAGTAAATACCAATCAACGCGGGAGAAGACGGCCTTCAGTTGAGCCCAAAAACACAAAAAAACGACCGACAATCAGAAAAGTTACGAGCATTTTCTCAGAATTTTTCCTAAATATATTATATTTTTTATCATTGAGTTGGTGAAAGACAAAAAAGACGGGTAAAAGATAAGAACATACTTCACTGACACTTGTACGTATGTCCATGATGGACTAATTGCATGGATCATGCTTGAGATATAAGAGATAAATATACGAAACTAGTCTTGAGCATGATGTTCTCTGACCTTGACGAATGAATAAGTACTGGATGAAAAATCTCTCCCAACACTGCTATACTCTCGCTCTCAAACAGGCCTCCTGTAATTTTGACACGAAGAGCAGTTTCACTCTCCTATTGTTAAATATGCTTCGTTCTCAAACTGCGCTCGGTTTTTTTTCCAGTCATTATAAAATGAATGGCAGAGCCATTTTACCACCTCAGCAATAACGCGCTTGCAAAACGTCATGTATTCAGGGTGCGTAATAGTTTTACCATTCTTTCTAGATGTCCAACATGAAAAAATACAGGATCAACAAATGCATCGATTTAATCAAAGGATTAATCACGTTTATTAGATCATTAATAATGACATTCATTGATTACGGAAGACAAGACACTCGAAAACTTTAGAATTTTTACTGCTTTTTCGCAGTGTTATGATGTTTCATATATACCTATGGGAAATGAGTGCTGAGCAAAAATACGGCCTCAGGCCGAGTCGAACTCGCGTTTCATCCATACGGGGGACGCGTGCTACCCCTGCACCACCGAGGCACACTTGCGCCACTTGCTCCGTATTTTTGCTCACTACTCAATTCGCTCAGGTATACACGAAACATCATAACACCGCGAAAGCAGTGAGAATACTAGAATTTTCGAGTATTATATCTAACAGCGACTGTCAGCTCAACTGGGTTCATATCCATAAAGCGATATCGCATACCCGACCAAACCTGTTAAGGTTGATGGCTGATAGCTGACATGGAGATGATGAAGAGTGAGTGGTGACGTAAATGTGCCTTGGTGGTGTAGTGGTAGCCCGAGTTCCAGCTATGGATGAAACGCGTGTTCGACTCTCGTCTGAGGTCGTATTTTTGCTCACCACTGAATTCGCTTAGGTATATATGAGAAACAAAATCTTGTGCAAATCAAATACTGCGACACGTCGATTTCTGCAAATCACAACTTGAGCACACCTGAAAATGGACAAATTAAAAGAGCGGATTATGGAATAAAGGTGAACAAAGAATTCAAAAAAATGATCAGTATGAATGAAAATAAATATCAGTTATGATGTTCTATATATTCCGGAGAGAAAGCATTAAAAATACTATCAGTTTCGAGTATTAGAAATATCAGTGCTAATACTAACAAAATACTATTGTTTCTAGTGTTTTATTAAGACCACGCTCAAATTACAATAGATCCTTTCGTTATTATTTGACCA